AACATTTTAAAAACACTGATGCTCATGCTGGGCGCGGTGGCTCAGGCCTGTAATCTCAGCACTTTTGGAGGCCGAGGCGTGTGGATTACCTGAGGTCAGGAGTTTGAGACCAGCCTGACCAACATGGTGAAACCCCATCTCTACTAAAAACACAAAATTAGCCAGGCGTGGTGGCGCATGCCTGTAATCCCAGCTACTTGGGAGGCTGAGGTGGAGGTTGCAGTGAGCCAAGATTGTGCCATTGCACTCCAGCCTGGGAAATAAGAGTGAAACTCCGTCTCAAAAACAAAACAAAACAAAAAACACTGATGCTCACACCAGTGGAAGCTGATGAGGAAGAATCACTTGAGGCCAGGAGTTCAGGACCAGTCTAGGCACCATAGCAATATCCATCTCAACAAAAAATTTGAAAAGTAGCTGGGTGTGTTGGCACACACCTCTAGTCCCAGCTACTGGAGAGGATGAGGTGGGAGGCTCACTTGAGCCCAGAAGTTTGAGACTGCAGTGAGCTATAATCATACCACTGCATTCCAGGCTGGGTAACAGTGAGACCCCATCTCTTAAAACAAACAAACAGCACTGATGGAACACAATAAGAGGTCAGTAAATGTTAGCTTCTGTTATAAAGGTATTTCAGACAGCTTCTCTGGGGTTAGTGCAATTGATTATTAGAGAGGGTTGTGCCACCTGAATTGGAATATAAATAATCTAGCACTGTCCACCATGACAATGTGGAGAAAGTAAATTTAACATATGTGTTGTTTTAGTTGAATATTTAAAGCATCACTTTTGTATAAAATATACCAGACCCCTTTTGCGCTATGAAACTATGGAACCCATTCTTTGGAACTCCATCTTGACTGGATGAGGTTTTGGCTTCCCTGGGTCTTGAAGAAAAAGGAAGCTAGCTGTTGGCACCAGGCCCCCAAGATTTAAGAATCTTGTGGCCAGGAGCGGTGGCTCATGCCTGTAATCTTAGCACTTCAGGAGGCCAAGGCGGGCGGATCATGAGGTCAGGACATCGAGACTATCCTGGCTAACATGGTGAAACCCCGTCTTTACTAAAAAATACAAAAAGTTAGTGGGGTGTGGTGGCAGGAGCCTGTAGTCCCAGCTACTGGGGAGGCTGAGGCAGGAGAATGGCGTGAACCCAGGAGGCAGAGTTTGCAGTGAGCCAAGATCACGCCACTGCACTCCTGCCTGGGCGACAGAGCAAGACTCAGTCTCAAAAAACAAAACAAAACAAAACAAAACATCTTATTTTGAGCTGGGAACAGTGGCATGCACCTGTAGTTCCAGCTACTCAGAAGGCTAAGAGGGGATTGGAGGATCTCTTGAACCTAGGAGTTCAAGTCCCGTCTGGGTAACATAATGAGACCCTGTCTCTAAAAGAGAAAAGAATTCTTTCCTGTTTGTCTGCCAAGTCTGGCCCCAGTACTCTGAGGAAAATGTGTCCTTGTCCTATTGGAACTTAGTCAAATGCCCCTCAGGGTCAGACTCTAGGTTACTTACTAATCAGAGGGGACTTTTTTTCCCCTTTCTTTCCTTTTTCTGAGACAAGGTCTCATTCTGTCACCCAGGCTGCAGTGGCGCTATCATGACTTACTGCAGCCTCAGACTCCTGGGCTCAAGCAATTGTCCCTGCTCAGCCTCCCAAAGTGCTGGAATTACAGGCATGAGACACCATGCTTGGTTGATAGAGGACTTTTCAATAGTGATTTATAGTTCAGAGAACTTTTCACACACAGTATTTCCGTTTATTGTAGTAGTAGGCCCCAAGCTTTGAAGTAAGGATCTAATGATGTGCTTATTAAAACTGCAGGTTCCCGGGCTCTAACTATACAGAATCTGATTCAGTAAGTTCTTGAGTTTTGGGTCCTATAGTATCTGCATTGGTCAAATCACTGGAGAAACATTGATATTGCTTAGATCTGGAAAGATTGAGGAGTAGCTGTGTGGGCTGTAGTCCAGCTACTCTGGAGACTTGAGGTGACGGGACTCCTGAATCCAGGAGTTCTGAGGTTACAGTGTGAGGCTACGATTTGTCGCCCCTGCCACTCAGCCTGGCGGTGGACGAGGCAAGACCCTGTCTCTAAAAATAATAGATAAGTAAATGAAAAGGATGGAAGGATGAATGAAAAGACCTAGGCGCAATAAAGAAGAAATAGGGCTTGTATTTTTTAGTATTATCAAGAATGACATGCTCTTTGCTCGTTGTTTATATTTAATGATTTTGGGGTTATTCTAATCCCTTTTCTTCTTTTTTTTTTTTTTTTTTTTTTTGAGACAGGGTCTCCCTCTGTCACCCAGGCTGGAGTGTAGTGGCGTGATCTTGGCGCACTGCACCTCTGCCTCCTGGGTTCAAGCGATCCTTCCACCTCACCCTCCCAAGTAGCTGGGACTACAGGAACGGGCCACCACACCCGGCTAATTTTTTAAATTTTTTGTAATTTTGGTAGAGATAGGGTTTCACCATGTTGCCCAGGCTGGTCTCAAACTCCTGAGCTCAAGTGGTCTGCCAGCCTCAGCCTCCCAAAGTGCTGGGATTATAGGCTTGAGCCACTGTGCAGTTCCCTTCTTATAGGATATCCTTCAATACATCTTTTCACCACTAGTGTGAAGCCATATCTAGCCAGTCCCCAAATATTACTGATGGTTTTCCTATGATGTATCCATCCTAATTGTTCCTTCTGCTCCCATTATACGGTGATCTCCCAGACTCATGCCTGAATGTATCAGTAGTATACTTTTTTTTTTTTTCTGGGTAATAACACAACACCAGAAAACACAGTGGCTTGAAACAGTAGCCATTTGTTTATCCTGTGAGTCTGTGGTCGCTAGTTTGGGGCTGGGCTCAGAAGGGCAGTTCTTCTGGTCTTGCCTGAGCTATTTGTTCATCTGTGGCCAGCTGGGATAGGGTCTCACCATCCAGTAGACTAGATTGGGCTTATTTACATGGGGGCAGAACAGGTCCAAGTATAGCAAGAGGGCGAGCCTAGTGCACAGGTGCTTTGCAGACCTCTGCTAGATCACCTTTGCGAACATTCCATCATCCAGAGCAAGTCACATAGCCAACCCAGATCCAGCGGGTGGAGGAATAAATAAACTCTGCCTCTCTTTTTTTTTTTTCAGACAGAATCTCACTGCGTCGCCCAGACTGGAATGCAGTGGTGCGATCTCGGCTCACTGCAACCTCTGACACCCGAGTTCAAGCAATTCTTCTGTATCAGCCTCCCGAGTAGCTGGGATTACAAGCACCCACCACCACGCCCTGCTAATCTTTTGTATCTTTAGTAGATATAGGGTTTCGCCATGCTGGCCAGTCTGGTTCAGGTGATCCACCCGCCTCGGCCTCCTAGAGTGCTGGGATTACAGGCATGAGCCACCGCACCTGGCCAACTCTGTCTCTTAATGGGAGGATCTGCCTTGTCACATTGTAGGGTCATGAACGGAGGGAGAATAACTCTGCCCATTTTTACAATCTGCTGCATTATCATATTTCCCTTCCTTGCAAGCTTTTCTGACTATGGACTTGCTGCTTCAATTCATCCCACTTCACGCTACCACATTCATTTTCCTTACACACTGCCTTCATCATATTACATCCTCGTTCACAAACCTGCCGAGGCCGCCTCTTTTCCTCCCTCATGTGCTGTAAACTCTTACGCCCAGCTTTCAAAGGTCTCTTTAAGTTAGCCTGAGCTAAAAGCAGAGGCTATGCTGTACAGGGAAAAAGGACTAGCATAGTCAGGGGAGGCTGCCAACAAACTTGATTACCTCTCTGGGCTTCTATTTCTCCTATAAAATGAGAGGTTGGACTAAATCCATGAGGTTCTTTTCAGATTTATTTATTTGTTCATTTTATTTATTTATTTTTTTTGAGACAGTCTTGCTCTGTCACCCAGGCTAGAGTGCAGTGGTGTGATCTCAGCTCACTGCAACCTGTGCCTCCCGGGTTCAAGCAATTCTCCTGCCTCAGCCTCCTGAGTAGCTGGGATTACAGGCGCCTGCCACCATACCTGGCTAATTTTTGTATTTTTAGTAGAGATGAGGTTTTACCATGTTAGCCAGGCTGGTCTCGAACTCCTGACCTCGTGATCTGCCCACCTCAGCCTCCCAAAGTACTGGGATTACAGGCGTGAGCTACCGTGCATGCCCAGCCTATTTTTTATTTTTTAATTTTACATTTTTTCTTTTTTTTTTTTTTGAGACAAAGTCTGGATCTGTCGCCCAGGCTGGAGTGCAGTGGCGCGATCTCAGCTCACTACAACCTCTGCCTCCCGGGTTCACACCATTCTCCTGCCTCAGCCTCCCGAGTAACTGGGACTACAGGCGCCCGCCACCATGCCCGGCTAATTTTTTGTATTTTTAGTAGAAACGGGGTTTCACGGTGTTCGCCAGGATGGTCTCGATCTCCTGACCTTGTGATCCTCCCGCCTCGGCCTCCCAAAGTGCTGGGATTACAGTAATTTTACATTTTTGACATGAGGTCTTGCTATGTTGCCCAGGCTGATCTTGAACTCCTGGGCTCAAGTGATCCTCCCACCTCAGCCTCCCAAAGTGCTGGGATTACAGGTGTGAGTCACTACACCAGGCCTGTCTTCAACTTTAAGATTGTGGCTACATGTACCTACGCAGGCTTATTTCCTATTACTCCCCAAATAAACCCTGAACTGTAATGAGACCAGGCTTCTTATTTTGCAATGGAACATCTTGTGTTCACATTGCCCTTAGAGTGTTCCTTGCCCTTTAAGTGTTGGTTCCCCATGTTTTCCTTTTTTTTTTTTTTTTGAGACAGAGTCTTGCTCCATCACCCAGGCTGGAGTAACAGTGGTGTGATCTTGGTTCACTGCAACCTCCGCCTCTCAGGTTTAAGTGATTCTCCTGCCTCAACCTTCTGAGTAGCTAGGATTACAGGCTCCCGCCACCATGCCCAGCTAATTTTTGCATTTTTAGTAGAGACGGGATCTCACCACATTGGCCAGGCTGGTCTCAAACTACTGACCTCAGGTGATCCCGCCCACCTCGGCCTCCCAAAGTGTTGGGATTATAGGCGTGAGCCACTGCCCCTGGCCTGTTCCCTGTGTTTTCTGATTCTGGAATTGTTCTTTTCCTTCTCCACTGCTTGTCTGCTTGTCTTAAATTCTGGCCATCTCATGTCTTTGTTAATCTCTGCCATCCAAGTTGGCACTTAATCACATTATCTCTGGCATAAATCAGTGTTTCAATTGTTAGTCTTATTAACTAGATTATAAACTCGTCAAGGGAAGATACTGTATTTTGTACATCAACTGAGCACGTAGTAGGTATCAAGTAAATATTTGTGGATTAATCCTCCATTTCCATCCCAGGTCATAGAAAATAGGAACTGGCTGAAAACTTTTAAGATAAGCAGGAGGATGAGAGCACCTGGGCAGAGGTGGAGTTGATGGTGCTGGTGGTTGTTGGAGACATGGGTATTTTGGTTAAATGCACCTAAGGCAGCGTACACTTACCAGGCTGGTGGCCTTTAGAATGTATCTACAAAATTGCTTTGCAGTCCTTTCCTCCTGCCATTCCATGACACTGGTTCTCCTCTGCTTATTTCCTACAGTTTTTGTCCTTTTATCCTGTAATCTGTCACCATGACCCTGACAAAAGGTTCCTTCACCTACTCCAGTGGGGAGGAATATCGTGGCGAATGGAAGGAGGGTGAGAAGGACCCCTGGGGAGTGTCCAATGATGAACACTTCATTTGCTGGAGGACAAATACATCAGCATATGTAGCCAGCTTTATGGGTTTTCATTTTCTTTTTTTTTTTTTTTTTTGCACTCCAGGCTGGTGACGACCAGACTCCTGTCTCAAAG